GGCTCCCGGGGCCGCCTCCGAGAGAGGGGCCCGCCTTCCCGGGCTCCGCCAGGCCCGCTGCGGAAGGGCCGAGTCGAGGCCACGCTCCGCCAATGACTGGGTGACCTTGGCTTCCTCACGTACCCCTCTCCCCGCCCTGCCGGGGGACCGCAGCTTCCCCCGGGAACATCTGAGAAATGGGGAGAAGCCTGCGTGCTCGCCAGGCTGCGGCGAGACGGAGAAGGAAATGGTCTCGGGCAATCCTAAGGCGCAGAAAGGGGAGCGCTGGATGGGGCCCCTCCGCAGGCCGTGCGGTGGGATGCTCGGCCTGCCCCGGGGACAACACACTGGGAGCAAAGGCGACACTGTAGGAAGCGCGACACCGACCAAAACCACTAAGAACGGGCTAAGCCAGTTCCGAGGGAGCTCATGTTCTGGTTCTGGTCCAGCCTCCGAAGAGGGGCCGGCGCTTCGCGCAAATGGGTTTCTCCGCTCAGAGCAGACCCCAGTGCGCCCTGCAGCGCATTTAATGGGAACGACCCTGAGAAAGTTCTACAGCTATTAGCCCCACCCCCATCCCGGGCTGAGAAACCCAACCGGCCCTGCTGGGGGCGGGGGAGGTCTTGCGAGGCCTCAGCACCCCAGAGCCAGGGGACCCCCAGCTCCGCCCTACCCTTTGGTCTCCCCGCCTCCTGCCCCCCCTTGCTCTTCCTCCACTCCCCAGTTCTCAAAGTGCTTCCCCAGCTGGCTTCCTCTTCCTAGTCCACACCACAACCGTGCCTGACAACTCTGCACGGAGGGCCGTGGCTGGAGCCCTGAACCACAGGTCCCACAGAGAAAGAAACCACCTGGGAATGATAATGGGCTCCTTTGGTGCCCACAGGAGTACATACAGAAAGCCTGGCTGTCACAGGAATAGACTGTGCTCTCGGTGCACTAGCCTGAGCCTCCTAGGCCAGCAGCGTGTCCACACCTGCTCTCAACAACCATGGAGAACGTGCACACAACTGCCGAGAAGAAAGGGATCGCTTCGCTTCCGGTGTGCACGCAGGGAGGGCATAGGGCCCTTGCCCTCCTCTCACACCTGCACCCGAGCTTCTAGCTGCAGGACACCAGCCTACTTCTAGCCGCCTCTCTGCCCTGAATGCCTTTCCTCCCACCGATGGCCTGGGGCCAGTTACATTCATACTTCCCACGCAGTGTAGATGAGATCACGAAAGTGCCTCTACCCCACCCAAGTGGACCATCCCATTCCGAGAATCATCTGTCCGGAAATTAAAAAAAAGAAACGAGGAGGTCTAGGTCTCTGCGTGTGGCCAGAGAGGTGGAGGACCAAGATCAGTTCCTTGGGTGTGGGCTGCCTACCCTGCCTCTCGCCTTTGTGATCTTCAGCAGGGGACTGAGCCCATCTGTACCTCAGTTTCCTTATCTGCCTGGAGAACTGATTAATACACCCACCTCCGAAGGTTGTTCAGAGGGTGGAGGAGACAGTCACTTTGATGGCATAGCGCGTGCCTGTTGCTTCCCTGGGAGCTGAATACCTGCCAGCTTTGGCTGGCATCCAGCTGCATGCTGTTTGCTGGGCGGCTGCTTATGTCTCACATGTCCGTCTTCTCCCTTGGGGCTGACTCTGTCCCTAGCATCCAACACAGACCAGGCTCTCCATCTCCACGGTGTTGTCCCCAACACAGAGAGCAGCTGCAGCCCCTGCTTCCTCCTGGAGCATTTCACCCTTGGCTGAGATGATTGCTTTCTCCCAGATGCAGCCATCCATCCCAGAACTGGACCCTTCCCTGAGCCCAAATGCCCCAGCCCCTGTGTCTTCACCATGCCAATGGGTCAGGTTAAGGGCTGCTCTGTGACCCCTCCTCAAGTCCATGTGTGGAGATCCAACCCCAGTGCCTTGGAGCGGGACTATACCCAGAGATGACTTCTCTAAAGGAGCGACTAAGGTAAAAGGCAGTCCTCAGGGAGATCCCCCCATCCAGTGAGACTGGGGTCCTGATAAGCAAGGGAGGTCAGAACACAGAGCCACACCCAGAGGACTTCCTAGGAGGACACAACCTGCGACCCCAGGAGAGAGGCCCTGGGAGGGATCAGCCTCTGAGGCCCGGATGTCAGACTCTGGCCTCAGAAACCACAAGACAGAACATTTCTTTTGCTTCTGCCTTGCAGTCTGTGGGGCTTAGCTACGGCAGCCCAAGCAAACTAATCCATGAAGCATTTACCCAGTGACATTATGTGCCAAGTACTCTTCAAGGACCCAGGATTACCACAACCAATAAACCAAGCACAAACACCTCCCCTTCCAGATACTAGGCAAGAAGCCAAGCAGTCAAAGATACTGTGTGGCAGTTGCGGCTGAGGACAGCCTGGGGCGATGGAGACAGAGGAGGCAGAGTTGCAATGGAGTGATGAGGAAGGCCCTGCTGAGGGCATGGCACTGGTGCCCAGGCCGGAAGGAGGAGAGGGCCCTCGTGGCTCAGGTCCAGAGATGCACGGGTACCTGAGCCCTGGGGTGGAGGCTGGGGCTTGGGGAGCGTGTGCTGGGGTCAGCCATGAAGAGGAGTGGGTGAGAGACAAGGCCCAAGGGCCCCAGACAGGGAAGCAGGAGGCTGTGCCCAAGGGCCATGGGGTGGACTTGGGCTGTTAGAGAGTTCAGGGCCCCAGGGCTGTGACCCTATTCTATCTCCCTATGAACCAGTCAGGGGCTTTATGGGGCCAGATGGCAACTGTGGGAGCTGGAAGACTATTCTGGGGACTGCTGACATCACCCAGGTGGGAGATGGTATTGGCAGCAGGTAGATGCTGGGGCGGATATTTTTTTTTTTTTTTTT